TTATATCTATTATTGTGGGCAAGAATCCTGTAGAAGAAATGGAGTAGCCCTCATAGTCAACAAAAGAGTGGGAAAAGCTGTACTGGGATACAATCTCAAAAATGATAAAATTATATCAATACGAATCCAAGGCAGATCTTTCAGCATCAGAGTAATCCAAGTTTATGCACCAACCACCGATGCTGAAGAGGCTGAAATTGTTTCATCTAATTTCAATTTTTGATCATCAGTTGCTGAAAAGTGGCAAATGGATTTCAACTGATTTATCCATTCAGGCTCTATGAATCAGATGTTCATCAGCTGTAGGATGATATCCTGTTTCCTATAAAAACTTTTGGCTTCATTTATTTGAAATGTACATCACATTCTTTGTGTTCACAATACTGTTTCAGGGGCTATGCTACTAAATCCATCATTCTTAAAGATTGGATAATAGAATGTGAAAGATACCTTTAAAGAGCTAGCCTGTATAGCTTTGAGCAAGCTGCACAGCCCCAGGGACCCCAAGAACAAGCAGCTAGTAAATCACTTCTGAGTAATATATACCTAGGAAATCCTTGCAAGGGTCCCCATAAGTCAACTTTGTTCATTGTTGTTGTTGTTGTTGTTGTTGTTGTTGTTGTTGTTCAGTGATCATTAAATTGTTGCCTGGTTTTCAGGAGTAAACATCAAGGCCAATGGGCATGTACCAATGGGCATGTGTCTTTTGACCAACATTTCATTTAGCATCCCCTGCAAAACATTTATTAAAATTCTGTGCAAATCAGTGGTGTTTGTTAGACTTATGGTATGGAACCTAAATCTCTCATTCCTTATCTTACATTGTTCAAGAAGATAAGACTCTTTCTTATGCATGATAGTATCTTATGGCATAAAATTCATGATATACCTAGTTTTTAATCCTGAATGTGGGAATGGATATAATCATAATACTTCTACAGTATTAATAAACCATTATACAAAAAGAATTTTGAAAGGATAGGTACTGCCTACAGCAGACCTGGGCAGGGTGAGGCCCGAGGGCCACATACGGCCCATGAGTTACTCCTGTCTGGCCCGCCAGTCTTCGCTCCAGTCCGGTGTTCAAGCACTTGTTCAAGCCCAAGACAGACTGGATTTTTCTCACTGAACAAGTTGAACATCAAAACCATTTATAGCTTTTTATCTAAAGTTGATCAGTTGCTTATCTTTAACATAGCACAAAAAACCTCTTTAGTATTTGTGAAGATTAACAAGTTTAAAATAAAAACTTGTTAAAAAAAATCATAACATCACTGTTTCATTTTATTTTTAAGTAAAGTTGGTTTGGCCCCCGAACACAGTTCATATTTTTCATGTGGCCCCCTTATAGAAATTAATTGCTCACCCCTGGCCTACAAGCTTACAGTCCAAGCCTTCAGAAAAGAAACATAATTGTATCTCTCATCTGAATGAGTTTTAGAAGATAATAAAACTGTCTGATGCGATGTCAAGTGATTATTGTAACCTTTTCTGTTTGAGGGATTACACAAATGCTTGTTAATGCTTTAATACTAGCTGAATTTACTGCAAAACATTCAGCAATGTACAGCATTTGCAAAACATTGTTGCCACTGCTGTTATTATTTAACACTTGTTTTAATTAACAAATATAGGACATAAACATGCCATGATGTTGCA